GAATACTTCATATACCCATTGATGTTTATAGCGCTTGATCTTTTTTTTTAATTTTAACATAACTCGATAGATGGCGTGCTTACCGCTGACTTAGCTAATTTCTATAATGTTTTGTGAATATCGAAAATAATATACATTCCATTTTTGGCAGTGACTATAAAAACCAAATATACATAGTATAATTTTATTAATCTTACATCAAATTCATCTGTCAACTATTTACTAATTACTAACAAGATCAATAGCCATCTTGCGGTGATCGAGCACACTTTTACCCAAGCTTCAGTATACATGCAATAGATGGCGCTATAACAAAAAAATATTTTAGTGACGTAGGTAAATAATTTAATTATATAAATATACAGGTGTTATCACAAGTGCTTTCGCATTTAAATAATAGAGTAAATAACTGGTTAAAAACCATTAAATGGACTTCAAATAAATAAATTGATATACAAAGTTAAAAGCTGATCTAAGGTGTGAAATGATCACCGCTTCGCGGTTAATGCAAAGTGCGTAACCTATCCGTTACTTAACACTTTCAGGTTAACCGTTAGTTATTATAAAATTATTGTCTGCATTGGACTTCAGTAAGATCTTGTATATCGTGAAAATCATATCTTTTGATTATATTATATCCTGACTGATTCTGTTTTACCAGTAAATTGGCACATCAAAATAATGAATTTGGTTTAAGTGCACTTTCACATTAATCCGGCGAACAGTTATAAATCGAACATTTTATAGCCAATTATATCAGATTTGTGGCATCCTAAAATGCCTATCTAAAGCGCTTGGCGTGTTAAATTGTATACCTGGACGTAACTATAGGAATCACTGAATGGCCCCCTTTTCGGTACTTCGTTATTGCTTAGATGTTATAGATTAGGTGTTAGATATTAACACAATTGGGTTAGATACGAAATGAGTATATTACAGGAAGTTTGATAGTAGCCCCAGTGGTTGAGAAAATAAGGAGTAAAAGATTAGCGTGGTAAGGGCATGTTATGAAAAGGGATCAATCACATGCAACAAAAAGGACGTTAGTTATGAATTTGGAGGGGTACCGGTAGAGGTAGACTTAGAAAGAGATAGATGTATTACGTGAAAGGTGACATGATCAAGAAGGGAGTTATGACATAGATGACGCTGAGAGAGTTATGTAGGACGAAAACACAGTGCGCCGACCTAACGGGAATAGGATAAATCAGGGGAGATGACGATGTTTTAGATTAGGTGCCAAGGAATACTTATTATAAGGTTTAATTATAATACGTTGCGCTATTGCGTTTACTTTAATAAAGATAATTCCATTTACGTATGCAGTTAATCTTATTTCAGTGTCGATTAAGAACCACAAGATAACAATTTTAATACGATTACATCTTTTGGAGCAAGTAAAAGCTGAACATTTATTACATTTTGATTATTTTAAAGAGAAAATCCTTTTGGAATAAATAGTGATAATATATGCAAGTATAATTACCTCAACTACTTACTGTGGTGAATCATTTTTCATGATTTTTAAAAGATGTCGTTATTTTTGCATTTCAATACAAAATTTATTGTTTAAAACTGAAATAAGATAATGTTTTAGATCCATGTCCGACTTACCAGACCTAGATTATACCAGATCAAAATTCTCTAACACGCATACAGGAAGTATCGTGCGGTTTGCATACAGCACGTAAATGACATAATGCACTAGCTATACACAAGCCTAACAAGTTCAAACGCTTCCCCCACCGTGACGTCACTTCCGCAGTCAAATCGTTTCCGGCGCGCCCGCGGGCTCTTTGACATCCCGCTCTTTGTTGGTACCCTCGATACGTCGAATTATCCCTTGGATGACTCGAGCGATCACCCGCTTGGAAAATATACCACGTAAGGTTTAATGTACTACTTTCTAAAATAATGAAAAAAATATTTGAAATGTAAATCTATTCATACATGTTTCTTCTTTACTAAAACTATAAAGAGGAAAACTCTGTTTGTTTGATTATAATTAAATAACTCAAAACTGGGCAGATTTCTAAAATTCTTTCACCATTAAAAAGCTACGGTCTCTGTTAATTATTATTTTTTAATTTCACGCAGACGGAGTCGCGGGCGCAAGCTAGTCTTAAACATATTTAATTGATTAATTTATTCACCTCTATATTTGTCTGATAATCAAAGATGATTGGAAAATACGATCTTCTTAATATGTTAATAAAGTCATCCAAAAACACGGAATTTCCCAATAAGTAAATATCAATAAATATTTATAAAATGGACATAAACGGATGATAGCACATTTTAGATAGAATTACCTAGTTACTGCGATTTGATATTTAAGATGATTTACTGTTCGAACAGCGGATAAACAGGAAGATAATAGAGGAAAACAACGGCAAATATTGTGAAGGCTTAAGTGGTCACGGGGCGTTACGGACGGTCGAGCGGGTCGTCGACGGTGAGCATTTAAGGTATTGTTAAAGATAAATAAATATTCAATACCTAACAGGTAACTCACTGACTCATTAGTCTTGGTTTTATTGATTTTGTTTAAAGTGTTTTGCAGTGGAAACTCAAGGTTAATTTTAATACGTATGATTCTAACTTAGCAGAATTATTTAATTGCTGCTTAGTTAGTGATATTTTTAATAATATTTTTACACCAAGTTTTATTAGTAATCTTTACCCTTTTGTATTAATTCTTGTTTGGGTTTAAAAAAGGAACTTATATTAGTAAAGCCTTTAAATTATTTCAGACTTTGTCTCCATCTTTGCCGAATTTTATCGAGTACCGTTTAGCAGTTATGGCAATACCATCTAAATTTCGCATTATAATACTAGTAAAAAGTAAAACTAATTCTGTGAATTACTCTTACTCATTTTTGAGTATACAGATCATATATCAGATATCCAGACGTGTACACAATTTCCATGCTTTGTCCAGACTGTACATTAGTATAGGATAGATAGGTTTGACGTAAACGGAAGTCGGTTATAAGCTTGTGTTCGCTAGATCTAAATTTCTCGTTGCAACAACATCGGGCTTTACGACTGAATGAAACGTCAGAGCAAGTAAACGTACATTATACCAGCCACACACGTCAGGGTATGCAAGATATTTTATTAAGTTTATATACATAACCGAGGTAAAGCCTAGTGCGTATGAGATAAAGGTGTACAGTTATGCGCAATTTAAACTCAGGACATGTCTGCTGATTAAAACAATCAATATAAGACTATCGTGTGTGGCTTTCATTATGTGTACACCTACAGTTTGGCAGTGGATTTGTAACGCCAGGCCACCGCCGTATCCGATTGTCGACGGCTGAATCTATTTTAGTACAATTACTAATATTTAAATTAAATACTGACATTTTAAAGTTCAAATTCGATTAAATGTTGCACTTCCTTTTTATTCTTATGTTTTGATCGATTTATCTTTACACAAGGAAAAAACAATACTCGAATCTAAAGATCGAAATATAGACTGAACAATCATAAATTCATTTTATTTCAAGAGGTGATGTATGCGTCAAATTGAAGAGCGTCAGACAAAAGATCTGAAGGTTATTGGTTCAAATCACGGCTTTATAACAAAGAGTTTCCGTTTTCAATCAACCGTACTATTACTAATTATGTTGCTCGATACTTTTAATATAATAAAGGTTCCGTTACACCGACAACTGGTGGTAAATGATCCGATAAATGAGATGCAGATGTTACAAAGTATAAATTGAAAAGGAACTTTTCAGTGGATAAATTATATCGAATACAATATAATTTGATACATTTTAAAATATACGTTATCTGCGTAAACATTTGTTAGTCCTGATTCAGTAAATCCGAAGTGAAATGTTTTTAAAACAATATTCAATATTGAGCCTAAATCGATAGACTAAGCATCGAATTAACCACTGAATTACGATGACTACCGATTGTATAAATAATCACTGTAAAGTATGGCCCATAACAAAATAAAATTGTCAAACGAGAACATTTTGCGTTTGGAGTCGGTAAAGGCCATTCGCTACAGATATAGACGGTCCAAATATTTTCACGGGCGACGCTCCTGACTGCGTCGAGAGTCGCGCAAATTCAACGGTTTGGATGAAATATAGTCGAAACGTGTCATAAACTCACCAACTTTAACTCCTTCGGATTTATTTGTAAAATATAAGAATCTCATCATACTTTAGTTACTTCTTAAAAAAATTACAGTACAAAATAAAATTACGTAAAATCTGCCCGTGTCTAGTTCATAAGCATAAGAATTTACTATGTAGAGAATTATCTATTTACATTAAAACATGCGTTAGATAGCGTTATAAGGCCGTTATCAAGTGACCTTTTTATTACCTACTACTAAATGTTACCTATGAATACTGAATTTTGTTGAATAAACAAAACGAATGTACTAAGTATGCAAAGTAATGTTCAACAATGATTCAAAACTCTAATGCATTTGCGATAAGCAAGCAATTCGATGAATAATTTTAATTTGGCACTGAGTGTTGTCAACAAACGATATTGTGGTCAAAGTCTAACACGTGAATAATGCAAAAACATTAACCACTATGTGTGTGTTTTGTCTTCACAGAGGAGAATTTTCTTTTTACAATTTATCTAGATTGAAATTTCATAATTACAAGTTTAATAACTTTGTAAAGTGTAAACAAACTCACCTTATCGAAACTCGCCTTGTAACAATTTTGATATTCTCTTCTTATTCAGAATGTTTTGATGAATGATTTCTTTTAATAATAATCAAAATGGAGTTATCAAATTAATATTAGAAAAACACTCATGCAATACTAATACATTTAATTCTACACATTTAGCAATAAACACAATTTAACTTAGACACTGGTTAATAGCACATTATTTCTAATTTCAGTTAAAGTTTCTCAACAATCGCAAAAGGTATCTTCCAATCGCTAACACTAGTAACATCACTGCACATAAAATCACAACATGCGTAGCTTTTTCCTCCGATTCGGACTCACCGGTGCTCCCCGACTCCTGCTTCTTATCCGCAGTAAAAGTCACAAATTCTTGCAAATGATTAGGCAAATTATGCACGTCTTTTTCTTCTCCAGCTTCAATCACTTTGATTTTATGTTCGATCACTTTAGGTTCCCTATACACATTCCTTTTATTATACCTTTCATCTTCACTCTCTGGATCTCTTATTCCAAGCTTGTTCCATCTTTCTCTAGCTTTTGATATAAACTCTTCTTCTATTCTATTATTAACTCTTGCATCAAGAACATCTAATGCTGACATACTTTTAGAAATAAGTCTGGTGTTTGAGGGTACATTAGTTTTAGTTATTTTGATTACTTTATGATGTTTCCTTTCTTCGCGTTCTGCAATTTCGTTTAAATATTCGGAATACATCTTTTCTCGAAGTAACTCTTCTTGACTACTACTAAAGACATTAGAATTTTTGTCTTTTTTGCTTTTATCCGGCGTTCCAGTTGTCCATATCATTCCTCTAGTTGTGTGCTTTTGATTTTGGTTCCATAACGATTCCTTGTTAATATCTTTTTCTGTGAGCATAGGGGCTCTAGGCCCCTTTCTGACAATCGGTCTCGTTTTTTCCTCCTCAAGGCGTCGAATCTCAGCTTCTACTTCTTTTTCTTTTTGACGAATATATTCCATTTGTTGGTCACACAAGTCTTTTGGCAAAGAAGGTCGACGTGGACTACTAACTTCTCTATTTTGATCCCGTATGTTTACGTAATTTCTATGCATGTTTTGTATACTCGATATGTCATCTTCAATCTCTTTGTTTAAGTTACCAGTAGAGAAATGAAACATTCTTTTTTCGCTTTTCATAGTTTTAAAAGAACTTTCAGCAAAATCTGAATTTTCGTCGCTTTCGTAATAAGATGACAATTTTTTTGGTCGTGGCGGTGGAATAGGCTTGGAGATATCTGAAGAGGTTCGCTGAACGGGATCACTATGTTTTCTAGAAGATTTTGTTTCTTCCAACTTTTGGGTACATTGGTATTGTTCGTCACTGAATTTATTAAATGATGATTTTATATTACTCGTAATTGAAGGATCTGATATCAACGCCATTAAACGAGATCCTGTTTCCGACTTTAGGGGGCGCATGATGGGCTTTTCCAGCTGTTGAGTTCTCGACTCAGTTGGACGATTCACATTTATTTTGCGTACAGAATCTTGTGAATTATTTTCCTTATTAGTAACTACTGTATTAGTTTCTTCCATCAACATTTTATGCGATGGAGATAAACAAACGTAGGGAGCTTCCAGTTTCTGTACATCAGAAGGTGATTGAACTTCATGAGACTTCTTTAACGATGTCTTTCTAGGTATGACTGGTGGAGGTGGAATCGGAGGAGGAGGAACGGGAGGTGGAGATTCATCTTCAGAATTTACGTTTTTTTGCGCAGTTTGCCTGATATTGTTAGTTGTTGACATTTGTTTGTTGAAAGTTTCCAATGGAACGTAATTATCCTCTGTTGTTAATTCTATACGGTCTTTCTTTACGATTTCTTCAGTACCAAGGTTATTCATATTTTGAAGTCGTAAAGAGACATTGGCCAATTCTTCTAATATCTTCAATCCATAAGGAAAACTTGATATTTTGTCAACACATATATCCCGCAATCTTTGCGGTTGCTTAACTATATGATGCAAATCTTTAATGTTACATGATGAATTTATATCGATATGTTCAATAACATCTTTAACATGGCTAGTTATAGTTGATTCTTTTTCGTACTCTTTTATTCCTTTACTAGCTTGAGACGAAACATCATTGTTACTTAAATCATTAAGTGATGAATTAGGATTGTAAATAGCTGTACACTGAGATGAAGATAAACTGCTAGAAGAGTCTTGTCGAGTGAAAATTTCTTTTGCACTTTCATTCATGATTTCTGAATCACTCACTTCCTTAATTAAATGATTTATAGCATCATTTAATTCACACTTTATAACTTTCATTTCCAAGTCGTAATCAGGAAAACGTATAGAAGAATTAGACTTTATATGATGAGACGAACTTTCTGTCTTCTCTGCTAGATTTTCAGCAGTAATTAACCTTTCTTGAGGTTTGTCCGTTTCATCAACATCCTTCACTGTTAAATTTGTTGTAATATTATCAGTGGTTAGAACGACAACCTCATGTAATTTTTGATCGATTTTATCACTTGATTTGTTATGACAATTTTCCAAAGATCCCTCTGATTTGGAGATTAAGTCATTTTCTATTTTAATTGATTTCTGTTCCGGAATATTAGTCTTGTCTTTGTTTTCAGAAATGAAGGTTTTCTTTAAGAAATTCTCGGTATCCGTAACCTCTATAGTAGGTGTTATCATGCGAACAGACACGTCTGTATCTTGCCCATTTTCAGTTTCATCATCACCAACGTCATATATTGAGCTAGTACTGCTGGATGAATCTGTTAAATAAACGATTTCAGCACCAGTCATCTTTTCAACAGTCTGTACACTCCAATCACCCCTTGCTTCACTGATTTCCGGTTCTTTTAGTTTTGCTCCAACAAGTACACATGTCTGTGGTATTTGTCTCGTAGAAGATTTTTTCTTTAACACATTCTCCCATTGTATATCGTAACTTCTCTTTAATGTTGATTGATTACCAGGTTTTTCAAAAACATCATCTTCTAAGTCATCATTATCACTTTTTTTGTCGCTCAAGTAAGAGTGCCTACGCGATTGTATGGAGGAATCGCCACTGCCTTCTTCATCAATTACGTCTAAAGTTCTTGGTGGACAGAGTCTTTGCGATAAAACATCATCTGCAAAACCTTTTTTTCTTAACCTATGTTTTATTTCACTATTGATTATTTGCTCAATTTCAGTTTTAATTTCTAAGGAGGTGGAGGGACTGGTTGCTAAATCCAAAGTTTGTAAGTAACGGCGAAGTGACTGTTCTTCTTCTGGACTCAATAATTTGGCTTGCTCACAATGAGCTACTGTGAGGGGCATCGTTGTCACAGTCAAAGTACCAGTGACAAGTTCTTCAATTTTTGGAAATTTATCCTCCTCTAAATCTACTGTGTTTTCCCATTCTACATCTGAATCCATGTCTACTACTAAACCAGAATTTTCAATGGAACATAATGCACCTTCTTGTTCTAGTACAGAGGGCATTTCATCTGTTACTTCGGTAATTTTTGGAAATTCGTCATCATCAACACTTTTGCTCTTTTTACTACTCGATAACTTTGATTTCTTTTTATTTGACTGTTCAGGAGATTCTTCAACGTATGTATTAGAAATTATAGCATTATTTAGCGAGCCTTCGACTGTATCATATAGCAGCAGAGAATTACTATCACTTTTGGCATTCAACTCAGCACCTTTCTGTAATTCAAAATTATTATCACCGTTAGTATCATCATTTACGACATTATCAATATCGTCAGTAGTTTCTGTTTTAACTGATATCTTATTTTGTACACTGGAATCGATTTCGCACTTCTCTTCTACTTTGATTACAACCTTATCAATAACATTAGGCGTATTTTCTGATAAATCATCTATAATTTTTTTTCCCTCAGTAATAGAAACAGTTTCACATTTCTCTACATCTTGGTTTTCAAGACACTGCGTGTCACCATCATTATTTGAACGACTGTTTCCGACATTAGGATCTGCACGATTCTTGTTTTTACGCTTATTTTTATTATTTTTACGCCTTTTAGGTTTTTCAGGCATGTTTTCTAAATTTCACTTCACTGTTATCACTGATATGAAATAATCACAAACACAACACTCACATCAACATAAAGTCAGTTTGTTTCAGCGTTCCAAGATACCGGTATCTATTACGTAGGAGTCGCGGATTCGATAATACGGCGTGAGCGAGCGTCGGTGTTAGGGAT